GTTGAGTCTATTCCTTTATGACATGATAGATTAGGATATGCTAGCTTTTCCATTTTAAAAAGAATGATTAAAATCGGAATGATTTCATGTGAAAACAGAGAACCTAATAAATGTGAACTATGTGTTAAGTTTAAAATGATTAAGAAACATTTTCATAGTGTTGAAAGGAAATCTAATTTGCTAGACTTAATTTATTCCGATATATGTTAATTAAATGAGATGTTAAGTATAGAAGGTAATATATACTTCACAACAGTCATAGATGACCATTCTAGGTTTTGCTATATCTACATGATGAAATATAAGGATGAAGTCTTTAATATGTTTAAAACATACAGAGTCGAAATATAAAATCTGATAAAATAAAAAGATTAAAATTCTTATAAGTGATAAGAGAGGTGAATACTTTTCAAGTGAATTTAATATTTTTTGTGAACAATATGACATAATACAAAAATGTGACGAAACTAGTTCACTTGAACAAAATGATTTGCTCGGAGAAAGAATATGACATTAGTTGAAATGATAAATGTCATATAATTTAGGGGTGAAACTTTATTAAGTGCGTGTCATGTAGTTAATTGATTCCTTTTAAAAGATTTAAGGTTTCTCCATATGAATTGTGAAAAGGGATAAAGACGAACATTGGTTATTTCAAAGTGTGGGAGTGTGTTGCTTATAGTAAGAACACAAATCCTAAAAGGACTAAATTGAGTCTAAAAGGGATCAAATGTTCTTTTGTAGGATATATCCAAAATAGCAAGTCATATCGTTTATTAAACTTGGAATCAATATTATTATTGAATCCCGTGAAGTAGAGTTCTTTGAGAATATGCTATCTTCATATAATAATTCTTTAAAGAAAGCTCAAGTAGAAATTCTTAATTCTGCGAGATCACAAGTAGAAACACCTTTCGAGAATGTTGAAACAAATGAACTTCATAGAAGTAAAAGAGCTTGAAAGGAGAAAATGCTAGGAACGGATGAATTATACTCTCAACTTATTTCTTTCTATTTAGTTGAGAAAAATGAGAAAAATATTGCAAGAACTACTCCGTATGTTATTAAGTGAAAATTGATCCCAAAACTTATTAAGAAGCAATGTCGATAGCACCTTTTGGAAGGAAGTTATAAATGATGAAATTGATTTAATAATATCAAATAACACTTGGAAATTAATCTATTTACCACCTGGATCAAAACATATAGGCTGTAAGTGGGTATTTAAGAGGAAGTACAATGTGGACAGAACTCTTAATACTTTGAAAGTTAGGTTAGTGGCTAAAGAATATCTACAAAAAGAAGAAATATATTACTTTAACACGTATGCACCAGTTGCACGAACAACATCAATTATGTGCACGCTCGTACACACACATATACAGTCTTAAACGGGGATTTCGATAAGGACATCTAGATGGAACAATTAGAAGGATTTGTTCTATCCAGAAATGAAGATAAAGTATGCAAGCTAATAAAATCTTTATATGGATTAAAATAAGTATTAAAGAAATGTCACGAAAAATTTGACTTAGTAATAATGTTTTTTGTATTTAAACATAATAATGTTGATAAATGTTTATATTCAAAAGTTTTTGATAATCACGTTGTGTTAATTTGTTTATACGTTGATGATATGTTGATTGTGAGCAATCAAATGCAAGATATAAAAGAGACAGCGAGGTTTCTATCTTCCACATTTAAAATGAAATATCTTGGTCAAGTTGATACAATACTAGGTATCAAAGTCACCAAGACTAGTGGTGGTTATATATTGAGGGTTATGTTGAGAATGTGATTAATAAGTTCAAACTCTTGAACATTAAAGAGGCTAACACGCCATTCGATCCAAATTTATAACTTGTAAAGAATGATGGAAGAGCTATAGCACAACTTGAGTATGCAAGTGCTATCGAGAGTCTAATGTATACTGTGCAATGTACAAGACCCGACATAACATTTGCAATTAGTAAATTTAGTCGATTTACTAGAAATCTAAGCAATAAACATTGGAATGCTATTAGGAGGGTTTTTGGATATTTGAAGAAAATCAAGGATCTAAGTCTCTAATTTCTGGCAATATTAGAAGGATTTACCAATGCTAATTAGATATCTAGTGTTGGTAAGAGTAAACCAACCTCAGGTTGGGTATTTACCCATGGAGGAATTGCGGTCTCTTGAAAATCCAAGAAACAACTATAGAATCTGAATTTGTGGGATTGGTTGAAACCGAGAAAGAAGCTAAATGGCTTACGGATTTAACGTATGAAATTATATTGAGAGAAATGAATAATTCTTCCATACCTATCTTGTGTAATAGCCAAGCCACTTTATGTAGAGTATACAATGAAGTGTATAATGGTAAGTCTGACATATGAGTCTAAAACATGATTACGTGAGAAAATTAATCAAAGATGGAATAATTTCACTCACTTATGTGAAGTCAAATGAGAATTTTGTTGATCCGTTCACTACACCGCTTACAAGGTAATTAGTGTGAACAACAACTAGTAGGATGATGTTAAAATTTCATAATTAAATCTGCCAATGACGTCACCGTACCTAACTATACTAACAAGTATACTTCAGGTTTAAAGGGTAGCAACAAGTCATTCGATAGGTGGATATATTCAGCACTTATTTTTTCTTTTAAACCATATTCTAGGTTAGAAGTGCTGATTGTCAAGAATAGGAGGGTTGAGTTTCTATAACTCTTGATAAAGTTCAGATCGGTGGATCAAGTATTTCTAAAAGTGACTAAGATACTGCAAGAACTTTACCTATATAAATTTTGAGTTGGTGCCGTTTCAATAGAAAATTGAACTTTCTCTTTTAAAAGTTTATAAATAGGAGAAGCGTAAGGCTATAAAAGCGCTAAACGAGATTGTGTGGAACTTGGAACACTTGATACTTGTATGCATGATTTCACTGGTATTATGACAAGAAATAATAGGTTCAAAAGTTTCATACTACTTAGGATTTCGATGATTACATCGTGAGATTTATACTAAGGTTGGATTTAAATCGAAAGATATCCATACTTTATGCATAAGCACCATTAAGTTTGAGTTTGTATTCATTTTATATTTGAATAATTGGGGGATTGTTGGATATTGTTCAAATTAACAATGAGGAAATGTTTTGAATGTGATGGAAGTGGTTAACCATTAGAAAAAAGAAGTGAAAACAAAATGAGAACAATAAAACTTTGAAGGCCGAAAATGGCCTGGGCTGGTGGCCATTCGGTCTTGTGTTATAATTACAGTGGCCATTTTGTTGAACTGGACGGGGCACTCGGGGCTGCCGAAAATTTGCCCGTTGGGGTTTTGAATTCTAGTGTCGTTTTGAAGGGTTTCATACCATTTTGGCTTGATTTTTGCACCTTTAGTACATAGTGATTGTAATTTTATATATATGAGTGGCTTTCACTATTTAAAACATATCATAAACATCAAATTGATTCCCTTACCTCCAAAATCTAAGATCAAACCAAGTTTTTATAATTTCGTTCTTTAGTTACTTTTTTCCAAGTTTTATTTGCTTGATTCAAACTTGGATTAAGGTTTGTTTATTCCTATAAGTTATTTGCCATAAAAGATTTCTGACACTTATCCCAATAATGACAAATATCGTTTGGGGACAGCGATTCATAATCGTGCCCAAACCTTCCATATTGACGATTTCTTGTTGCTGATTTTATTTTCGTTCTTCATCCACTTTTTTCAACATATGCTACACCGACCTCCACCAAGTCAAGAGTGATTGGGCACCACCATGCACCCTATTGTACATGAGTAATCCACCAATTAATTGCTTGCATTGCATTGCATTGCATGCATATAGATTATTCTAAAGAGTTTATTTTCTAAAAGATAGGGTTCTGATTAGAAAAAACTTTGGAAACATGAAAATTAAGTGGATAAAACAGTGTTCATTAAGTGATTGACTGATTAATCAATAAATGAAGGAGACGGTAAGAATAAGTTGTGTGTTTTGAATTGGGGAGAGAATGGATAATTTGGTTTGTCTTGTTTTGCTTTGAGGGTATTTTGGACAGTTAATATTTTTTAGATTAAAAAAAATTATTTTAATTCTAATATTCTGATCAAAGGCTCTTTTCACAAACTATTTTGTAAAGAGACCGTCTCACCTAATTCCCACTTTAAAATCCTAGTTCCCCCAATTACACCCTCAATATATATGTAATTTGACAAATTCATGGAAGCCTAATGACTCCTTTAGGCCACCATTCTTGTGAGGGAGTATTTAGCCCCTTTTTGGTCCCCATTATTTGGTATTTTTGATAGTTGAAAATTTTTAGAATAGTGATTGATGGAAGAATGTGTAGTGAAAAAGTAATGAAAAATTTTAGATTTGTGTGTAATATTATTTAATTTGATGAATGTGTAGTTGTAATGAAGAGAGAGAAAAATGTAATGTAATTTAATTTAATTTAATGAGGGCCAAACATGGGCTTAACTTCAACTCGTGATTCCTTTTCTAGCCACATTAGGCTGATTTGTCTTGACCTACCCGTATATTTGAGTGAATGTTTTCTGGGTGTACGTTTTATAGAATTTCGAAAATTCAACTCAACGGACAACATGAAATGTTTACGGTTTATATAGTTATTATTTTATCTCGTCGCGTCTCTTATTTTTCCTGGTTGGTTTGATAGTAATAAACTTGAGTAGACAAAAGTACCCTTAGAGGCCACGTGTAAGTCCATGGATAATTTAACAAAATTTTCATAACCAAATTAGTCGGACTGTATAATGATAGTTTATGGAATTAAATGTCAAAAATATTAAATGGGGATCCAAGTGCTACAAAGGGTGATGTTTGGGGAGTGTGGATGCAAGTTTCCCCACGGAAAAATGAATTAGAAGAGCCAGTCTGGCAGTAGAGAAATTCAAATATTATAGAGAGAAACAGAGTTGCCTAGTTACCGTTGGCTGGCGCAGAGAAGACAATACCGAACAATTACAGAAAAATCGAAAATGAGATCAAAGTCATCGAGGAAGCCACTCCGAGATGTTTCCAGTGCCAAAACTGCGAATAAATATCTCTCCGTTAAGTCTGCGAATAATTGCAAGAAAACCCTAGAAGAAATCGGAGACGATTCACTCGATCGCCTCCTTGTCGTTCACTCCGATCTATCCTCCCTCATGCATCAGGTAGTCATTAATTTAAAGTTATAATAAACTAAAAATGGAATTTATTATTTATTCTGTAACTTTATGCCAAGAACCTGGTGTAACGTGTTCGTAATAAAGTGTTAAGAATTTTTTATTTAATTAATACACCGTAACTGTGTAACGCTCATGGGGATTGAAGTATTTTGAAATTTTGAATGAATGCAGTTTTATGGCTTGTTTTAGAACGAAGTAAACTGTGTAAGAATAACATAAAGTTACAGAAAAGAAAGAGAAAAAATAGTAGTAATAACTTCTGCCTCCATTCAAATTACCATAGATTGTAATATTCCTCTGTTTTCTTATAAATTACAGTTGAACTTGTGCTGTTGAGTAAGAAATTTTATTTTAGACTATGGCATGCCTTTTATTTTTGGAATTAAATGTTGAAGGTGGCTTATGATAATTCAAGCGACCGTACTTCCAAAACTAATTGGAATTTTGTATTATGTCATTGCTTGATGTTTCCGAAAAAATGTGAGAGAAAGGATAAGACACTGAGATGAAATGTTGTATCAAGGTTGCAAGTAAAGTATATTTACCAAGAAAGTAGCATTCGAGGGTGATAAAGCGCTTTGCTTTGGCTGCCAATTTGTTACACAACCTGATAATCGTAGAATCAAATGACCTTTTGAAGAGCCAATTTTGTTGGTAAACACGATTTTACTGCACAATAGCTTATATTAGGACCTTCGGCAACCAGATAGTGGTACGAGATTAAGATATTTCCTACTCTTTACAAATTATTCATCAGTGCTTTTGAATTAACAAAACCACCTTTTCCTCACTTGAAATATTGACTTTTTATCACTGTCTCTTTATTGGTTAAGACTATGGGATTTACTTCAATGCATTAGTACTAATTCTTGAGTTGCAGATTGATGAACTAGTCGTCCAAGGTCTCCAATTGCCAAGCAAGAAAGAGAAGAAAGAATTGGATTCATTTGCAGATGTCTTATCTGAAATGCACATTTTATTGAAGGTTGATGCTGTATTTGATTTTTCTGATTTTGAAACCTTCTACATTTCTTTCTTCATTTTAAGTGAAAAATGCAAATCTGCAGCCATGGGTTTCTAGATTCCAAAAGGTACTTTCAAGTCAATTGACAGGGACTGAGAATAAGTCGGAGCCATTGGCAAGAAAGGAGGTTTCTGTTGTGAACAAAGATATAAGTGTTGCAGTTGAAAGCCCGGAAAAAACCAGGTGGGAGTCACTCATCTCTCCTTCACCCCTTGTGTCCTGGCGGACTGATTGCAATACTGAGGGTGGTAGACAATTGTTTCTACTCACTCCACTGCCTCGACCAAGGGCATTCTCATCCAAATGTCAGGCATCCTCTAAATCTGCATTTGAAAAGATTACATCTGATGCAATTGCCTACCCATCATCTCTTTCTCATAAAGCAGCAAAAAAGGGTGATGATCATGCGCTTGAGGATATATCAGTAGAGCAAACTGAAACTGACGTTTTGGATTTTGAAATAACTAAAACTGGGTGCAACCTTGAGTCCGAGTGTGCTTCTCCAGCAAAGTTTTCTAGAGCGAACTGCTCTATGCTTGTCATGACTCCATCCTGGAAAGTGTCACCACCCAAGTCCTGCGTATTGCTTGAGCCAGTATCTGAATTTCCCAAAAAGGATAATCAGCGGGTCCAAAAATCAACACCTTTTCCAATTGAAGTTAAAAATTCTAGTGCATCTGCGAAGTCAGAATCCTCCAGCAGTCCAATGTCACATAATCTGGCTGTCAAGTACCCTGAGCTCTTTGGAATAAAACTAGCTCATAACTTCAGAAACAGAAAAAAGGGAGTAGAAGAATCGCCAGATTTGCTCATGTCACCTCCCAAAACCTGTGTTATCATGGAGCCTCCTGATGACAAATTGTTGACAAATATATCCAGTAATTTCCTGCCTCCAAAAACTCCTCTACTCCATAGTCAACAAGCACTCATGTCTTTTATGAAGGAAATCGATCATCAAGATGACCATTGTGCAGCCGGAAAAATATGCCAGCAAGGTACATTTTCTTTTTGCTTTTATATAATTTGGAAGGAATTTGATCACTGACAAAAGTGACCTCTTTCCATTGTATACCTACAGACGTTGGTAGTAGATTGGAAATAGTCGAAAGCACTCCTGTGGTGAAGGAGCTCGAGAGCAGTATTCGAGTGAGAAAGCATCCAGGTGAGAATACATTGAAGAAAGAACTGTGGACGAAGTTTGAAGCAGTGTCAACTCATGGGATTCGTTTCAATGTGGATGTTCTCCAAAAGACTGCTGAAAAAGGATTTCTCGACAGATTGGATGAGGCTTATTCTGATGAATGATTAATTTACTTCAGTATGATTTTGGGTTCTACTTGTACAAGTTGGGGTGACGTATTTCGAAGTATTACTGGTGATTGATAATCTTGTATAGACCAGGATAATGTCATCTAAATCTTAACACATAAAAAAAAGTACCATAGTACTTATTAAACATATAACGTACTTAGGTTTTGTCTAGTTCAATTGCACGTGCAATATTCTTTTAAATAGAGATCGAAAATGAAAGAAACATGAACAATAATGGCACCTTGATATGTTCTATAACACATGGTTAACTTTATCAATTTTGGGCCGTGCTATGGGTACAATTATGTACCATAGCATTTTCCATCAATTTTGGGGTTCAACTTTTTTTTTATCAAGGTGCCCCTCTACCCCCACAAAAAAAAGGAATTGCTAGGTCAAGCGTCCCATCATGTGGAGGGTTGGGACGTGGAAAAAATCAAAGATACCCTTGAAAATGGCCATAATGCCCCTTAAAGCATAACATAGGTGAAAGATATCCATACTTTATGCATAAGCACCATTAAGTTTGAGTTTGTATTCATTTTATATTTGAATAATTGGGGGATTGTTGGGTATTGTTCAAATTAACAATGAGTAATGTTTTGAATGTGATGGAAGTGGTTTACCATTAGAAAAAAGAAGTGAAAACAAAATGAGAACAATAAGACTTTGAAGGCCGAAAATGGCCTGGGCTGGTGGCCATTCGGCCTTGTGTTATAATTACAGTGGTCATTTTGTTGAACTGGACGAGGCACTCGGGGCTGCCGAAAATTTGCCCGTTGGGGTTTTGAATTCTAGTGTCGTTTTGAAGGGTTTCATACCATTTTGGTTTGATTTTTGCACCTTTTCATACATAGTGATTGTAATTTTATATATATGAGTGGCTTTCACTATTTAAAACATATAAACATCAAATTGATTCCCTTACCTCCAAAATCTAAGATCAAACCAAGTTTTTATGATTTCGTTCTTTAGTTACTTTTTCCAAGTTTCATTTGCTTGATTCAAACTTGAATTAAGGTTTGTTTATTCCTATAAATTATTTGCCATAAAAGATTTCTAACACTTATCCCAATAATGGCAAATATCTTTTGGGGACAGCGATTCATAATCGTGCTCAAACCTTCCATATTGACGATTTCTTGTTGTTGATTTTATTTTCGTTCTTCATCCACTTTTTTCAACATATGCTACACCGATCTCCACCAAGTCAAGAGTGATTGGGCACCACCATGCACCCTATTGTACATGAGTAATCCACCAATTAATTGCTTGCATTGCATTGCATGCATATAGATTATTCTAAAGAGTTTATTTTCTAAAAGATAGGGTTCTGATTAGAGAAAACTTTTGAAACATGAAAATTAAGTGGATAAAACAGTGTTCATGAAGTGATTGACTGATTAATCAATAAATGAAGGAGACAGTAGGAATAAGTTGTGTGTTTTGAATTGGGGACAGAATGGATAATTTGGTTTGTCTTGTTTTGCTTTGAGTGTATTTTGGACCGTTAATATTTTTTAGATTAAAAAAATTTATTTTAATTCTAATATTCAGATCAAAGGCTATTTTCACAAACTATATTTGTAAAGAGACTATCTCACCTAATTCCCACTTTAAAATCCTAGTTTCCCCAATTACACCCTCAATATATATGTAATGTGACAAATTCATGGAAGCCTAATGACTCCTTTAGGCCACCATTCTTGAGAGGGAGTATTTAACTTCAACTCGTGATTCCTTTTCTAGTCACGTTAGGTTGATTTGTCTTGACCTACCCGTATATTTGAGTGAATGTTTCCTAGGTGGATGTTTTCTAGAATTTCAAAAATTCAACTCAACAGGCAATACAATATGTTTACGATTTATATAATTATTATTTTGTCTCCTCGTCTCTCTTATTTTTCCTTGTTGGTTTGATAGTAATAGACTTGAGTAGACAAAAGTACCCTTAAAAACAGGCCACGTGCAAGTCGATGGATAATTTAAAACAAAATTTTCACAACCAAATTAGTCGGACTGTATAATGATAGTTTAGGGACTTAAATGTCAAAAATATTAAATGGGGATCCAAGTGCTACAAAGGGTGATGTTTTGGGACTGTGGATGCAAGTTTCCCCAAGGAAAAATGAATTAGAAGAGCCACCCTGGCAGTAGAGAAATTCAAATATAGAGAGAAACAAAGATTTGTAGTTACCGTTGGCTGGCGCAGAGAAGACAATACCGAACAATTACAGAAAAATCGAAAATGAGATCAAAGTCATCGAGGAAGCCACTCCGAGATGTTTCCAGTGCCAAAACTGGGAATAAATATCTCTCCGTTAAGTCTGCGAATAATTGCAAGAAAACCCTAGAAGGAATCGGAGACGATTCACTCGATCGCCTCCTTGTCGTTCACTCCGATCTATCCTCCCTCATGCATCAGGTAATCATTAATTTAAAGTTATAATAAACTAAAAATGGAATTTATTATTTATTCTGTAACTTTATGCCAAGAACCTGGTGTAACGTGTTCGTAATAAAGTGTTAATTGTTTTGAGTAACGCTCATGGGGATTGAAGTATTTTGAAATTTTGAATGAATGCAGTTTTATGGCTTGTTTTAGAACGAAGTAAACTGTGTAAGAATAACATAAAGGTGGTCTTTTCTTTCTCTTTTTTATCATGTAATAACTTCTGCCTCCATTCAAATTACCATAGATTGTAATATTCCTCTGTTTTCTTATAAATTACAGTTGAACTTGTGCTGTTGAGTAAGAAATTTTATTTTAGACTATGGCATGCCTTTTATTTTCGGAATTAAATGTTGAAGGTGGCTTATGAAAATTCAAGCGACCGTACTTCCAAAACTAATTGGAATTTTGTATTATGTCATTGCTTGATGTTTCCGAAAAAATGTGAGAGAAAGGATAAGACATTGAGATGAAATGTTGTATCAAGGTTGCAATTAAAGTATATTTACCAAGAAAGTAGCATTCGAGGGTGATAAAGCGCTTTGCTTTGGCTGCCAATTTGTTACACAACCTGATAATCGTAGACTCAAATGACCTTTTGAAGAGCCAATTTTGTTGGTAAACACGATTTTACTGCACAATAGCTTATATTAGGACCTTCGGCAACCAGATAGTGGTACGAGATTAAGATATTTCCTACTCTTTACAAATTATTCATCAGTGCTTTTGAATTAACAAAACCACCTTTTCCTCACTTGAAATATTAACTTTTTATCACTGTCTCTTTATTGGTTAAGACTATGGGATTTACTTCAATGCATTAGTACTAATTCTTGAGTTGCAGATTGATGAACTAGTCGTCCAAGGTCTCCAATTGCCAAGCAAGAAAGAGAAGAAAGAATTGGATTCATTTGCAGATGTCTTATCTGAAATGCACATTTTATTGAAGGTTGATGCTGTATTTGATTTTTCTGATTTTGAAACCTTCTACATTTCTTTCTTCATTTTAAGTGAAAAATGCAAATCTGCAGCCATGGGTTTCTAGATTCCAAAAGGTACTTTCAAGTCAATTGACAGGGACTGAGAATAAGTCGGAGCCATTGGCAAGAAAGGAGGTTTCTGTTGTGAACAAAGATATAAGTGTTGCAGTTGAAAGCCCAGAAAAAACCAGGTGGGAGTCACTCATCTCTCCTTCACCCCTTGTGTCCTGGCGGACTGATTGCAATACTGAGGGTGGTAGACAATTGTTTCTACTCACTCCACTGCCTCGACCAAAGGCATTCTCATCCAAATGTCAGGCATCCTCTAAATCTGCATTTGAAAAGATTACATCCGATGCAATTGCCTACCCATCATCTCTTTCTCATAAAGCAGCAAAAAAGGGTGGTGATCATGCGCTTGAGGATATATCAGTAGAGCAAACTGAAACTGACGTTTTGGATTTTGAAATAACTAAAACTGGGTGCAACCTTGAGTCCGAGTGTGCTTCTCCAGCAAAGTTTTCTAGAGCGAACTGCTCTATGCTTGTCATGACTCCATCCTGGAAAGTGTCACCACCCAAGTCCTGCGTATTGCTTGAGCCAGTATCTGAATTTCCCAAAAAGGATAATCAGCGGGTCCAAAAATCAACACCTTTTCCAATTGAAGTTAAAAATTCTAGTGCATCTGCGAAGTCAGAATCCTCCAGCAGTCCAATGTCACATAATCTGGCTGTCAAGTACCCTGAGCTCTTTGGAATAAAACTAGCTCATAACTTCGGAAACAGCAAAAAGGGAGTACAAGAATCGCCAGATTTGCTCATGTCACCTCCTAAAACCTGTGTTATCATGGAGCCTCCTGATGACAAATTGTTGACAAATATATCCAGTAATTTCCTGCCTCCAAAAACTCCTCTACTCCATGGTCAACAAGCACTCATGTCTTTTATGAAGGAAATCGATCATCAAGATGACCATTGTGCAGCCGGAAAAATATGCCCACAAGGTACATTTTCTTTTTGCTTTTATATAATTTGGAAGGAATTTGATCACTGACAAAAGTGACCTCTTTCCATTGTATACCTACAGACGTTGGTAGTAGATTGGAAATAGTCGAATGCACTCCTGTGGTGAAGGAGCCCGAGAGCAGTATTCGAGTGAGAAAGCATCCAGGTGAGAATACATTGAAGAAAGAACTGTGGACGAAGTTTGAAGCAGTGTCAACTCATGGGATTCGTTTCAATGTGGATGTTATCCAAAAGACTGCTGAAAAAGGATTTCTCGACAGATTGGATGAGGCTTATTCTGATGAATGATTAATTTACTTAAGTATGATTTTGGGTTCTATTTGTACAAGTTGGGGTGACGTATTTCGAAGTATTACTGGTGATTGATAATCTTGTATCGATTCAGGATAATGTCATCTAAATCTTAACACATGCAAAGAAGTACCATAGTACTTATTAGACATATAACATACTTAAGTTTTGTCTAGTTCAATTGCACGTGCAACATTCTTTTAAATAGAGATCGAAAATGAAAGAAACATGAACAATAAATGTACT